ATAAATTATTCATAGTTTAATCGGCCGGCCGCATAAAGAGCGATAACGTGAGTCCAACGACGCGAGGCCGGGCTTTTCTCATCCGCCCGGCTTCCTGAATATTTTCGCGCGGACAATGAAGTCGCCGGACAAAGGCCTCCCTCTAATAGCGCAACTTTTTTGGTTCGCTCCTGGGAAAAGAACGCGCTTCTTTTCTTGTCAAGCCGCGATTGTTCGCGCAAGTACACTGCGGCGCTACCTTAACGAAAGATCGATCTTAGGCGCGGTCAGGACCGAGACATAATGAGATGTGGGCGAAAGATACAGGCGATGATGGGATAAATGAGTCGTGGAGCTGAGTAATGCATACATTTTTAGCGATTACTTTTTGCAGTGTTTTTCTTTCAACAAAATCATAATTTCTTTCCCGGGATATACATTTTTTATATATAACAATATCAAATTATACATAGAGAAGTATATAAAATTTACATATAATCGTAAAATTATATATGAAATAGTGAAGTATTTCTTCATATATGTATATAAATATATATGTTTCATATATAATTTGACATGATTATATATATGAACCCTTATATAATTTATATAATTATGTATAAAAATGGACATATTTCACAAATATAATTTCACGATTATATTATACATAAAAAATTTTTCCCGGGTTTATACTTATATTTTTTTAAACTATAAAAAAAATTAATTTTAAGTTTGCTTATCACTATGACATGATGTTTGCGGGTCAAGAGGAGATTTTCACTTCTGGAAAAATTTAATGATACCCTATAGTCTTTAATCATGGTCGTGCTTGACAAAACAAAAGTAACTTACAGGCTTTTCCTCGCAGACCCGGTGGTATTTTGCTGTCCTTCCGTCTAAGGAAACTATTATTAAGAATTTAACGGATTAACGTAAGAATATAAGATGGCGTTCTCCAAGGAAAAATCTCTCTTTCTCTCGCCCTCTCTTCTCTCGTACCTGCTCGAGCCCGATAAATTGAAGTCCCGCCATTACTACGGGATCCTTCTAAACTTTTTTTTACCTTGCCGCACGGACGATGTCGCAATTCGCTTTTGTCCTTCTTCGCCCTTTCCATCTTGCAAAGTACCAGGCGATACCCGGCGGCGCTTTCGCTTTGTACGCAGTTAGAATTCGCGGGAGACTCCGTCGCGGAATGCCGTTATGAGAATGCAAATTTTATTTCCGTTGGGGAAGCGACCCGGACTCGTAACAATGTTATTCGCTCCGCTAAAATCGATATCTAAAACCCAGTAGTAATGTATAATCGACAATATCGCTATTACCGCTTACTTGTCTCTAATTTTACATGAAATTTGCGCAATGAAAATGAGAGAATGTGTATACGTACACATATATATATATATATATATATGTATACACACTATTCGTATGTATTTAATTCGAACCATTAGAGATTAATTTTATCATTGGATCGCACGCTCTGTTATTAGCTTGCAATTCGAATGCAAAAATGGAACAAACTAATATGGAATTTCAAAATTAATATTTTTATGAAATTTGTTCTCTCTCTAAAAATGGAATTAGTGTACAATATTTATAATTTAATTTATAAATAGTAATAGTTTAAGAAAAATAAATCACAAACCTTGCGCGATGTCTAGACAAACTTTTACGCTCTGTTATTAGCTTATAATTCGAATGCAAAAATGGAACAAACTAATGCGCAATTTCACAAAATCAATATTTTTACGAAATTTTTCCTGAAATTTGTTCTCTCTCTAAAAATGAGATTCGTGTACAATATTTATAATTCGATTTATAAATAGTAATAATTTAAGAAAAATAAATCACAAATCTTGCGCGATGTTTAGACAAACTTTTACGCTCTGTTATTAGCTTATAATTCGAATGCAAAAATGGAACAAACTAATGCGCAATTTCACAAAATCAATATTTTTCTGAAATTTGTTCTCTCTCTAAAAATGAGATTCGTGTACAATATTTATAATTCGATTTATAAATAGCAATAATTGAAGAAGAATAAATCGCAACCCTTGCGCGATGTCTATAACAAACTTGACGAGCCTATCCGTAACCTTTTGCAACTCTCTAGTTTCATTGCATTCGTGGTGGCGACAATCCATTGCTTGCTCGCCTTTCTTCAGGCTTTTCTCTCTTTATCTTTTCCTCCTTCTCTCTGCTGGAAAGTGCAGCAGCGATGGCCCGCGGCGTTTAAAGCGGCCGCGTTTCAGGGCTGCGTCGCGGTTTCTAATTGCGGCCGCAGTCTGGGTTTCGTGAGTTCGAAAGGACGAAGGGTAGAGGGTGGAAGACTCGGCAGAGATAGATAGATAAATAGAGAGAGAGAGAGAGAAAGCAAAGGGTTGCTCGCGGAAAGCAACGGGTGCAGTGAATCCACATCAGGGAACTAAGCTTGAAGATCGCCTCCGGTGGCGAAGACGCGCCGAGATGCGGACGGTGAAAGGGAGGGATGTTGGATTATTTTAAAACGAGATTGAGATAACTTCGAGAGCTAACCGTAGCGGTTTCACCCGAGGCGCAGAACTGGAAAACAGTGCAGGGAAACGAACAAATGGCAAAGAGGAAGGAAGACAAAGAAAGGGAGAGAGTAAAAGGGAGGACCTTGAAAAGTGCAAGCGTAAGAAAGTGAAACATACGAGTGATGATGATGATGATGATGATGCATGTGCAAGGAGGAACATGGAAATAAGGAGGAAAACGAAGAACGGTGACGGAGGAACTCTCTCTCTCTCTGATGGAGATGGATTCAGGGAAGGTGGAAGGATCGAGGATTTGGGGAACGCACCCCGTTAACCTGAAATTGGAAAGTTACCCGATCGTGTGATTGCGTTTGGACGGCTAAGTTCGAAGGGAAGGAAGCCAAGGGCGGATGATCTCGTCCTGGCGAGCTCCTCCGTCGTCGATTTATCCTATTTGCCGAGTGATCCGTTCTCGTGAAAATAATAAACCGATATGTATCGATCGGTGTCGTCGTCGGTTTCTAACTGAAATGACGATAAACGTGAAAAGAATTCAAGAATTGAGGTTTATTACATCTACATCTCTCTCTCTCTCTCTCTCTCTCGATTGAGCGTAATAAAAATCTTACGACGAGAATGTTGAGATATTTCAACGTGAAGAGATATTTATCGAGACTGAAAAGAGAAAAAGAGAGAGAGAGAGAGAGAGAGAGAGATGATGTGAAATTATCCGATTTTTTATAAGGAATCCGAGAAATATCATTCGTTATCGGTTTATGATACTCGCAATCATATTTATTGTTTAATTTTTAAAAGAAAATATCGCTCGTTTATATTTTGCGACTGCAGCTCCACAGTAATATTATTTATCTTCTCCATTTCGTGCTCTATATTAATTCTACTTTTAAATATTTAATAATATTAAATATTTAATAAATCTCCCCCGCGCGTGCGCAACACAAATACATTGTAATTTCTTCCGTTTGTCTCCGCGAAAAATCGATTTGGGTATATACATTGTTAAATAACAGTAGCAAACAGTAGCGGAACAGTAGTCTCGCTTTTAATGGAATTTACAAAATTTACGTCAGGGAGCTTCTCTGTTTAAAAGGGAACGATGTAATGAACGGCGTAATGAAAAGCAACTAAGGCTTTTATCAAGAGACGGAGCACAAAGACTAAGCACCCTTAACGCCCATGGACGGACATGCGGCACTGGCTCCTTTACGAGGGAGTCGGGAACGTCGCTAGAATTAAACAAGTGGTAAAGCGTTCTGTGCGCTTTGTGCATGATACGCATACTCCCTAGCTGTAACTATACATGCAAGCGTGATGCTAAATTTTATAAACAAAATTCAAAATCGAACTGTATTGTAATCAGCCGTAACACATTTTTTATATATAATTATATAGAAATCATTGTATAATTATACATATAATCGTGAAATTATATATAAAATATGTCCATTTTGATACATGATTATATAAATTTACATAAGGGTTCATATATAATTATCATGTCAAATTACATATATATAAAAAAAACATATTTATATACATGAAGAAATAAATTTATATAATTATATATATAAAAAGAACTTCAGCTGTAACTATACATGCCAGCATAATGCTAAATTTTATAAACAAAATTCAAAATCGAACTGTATTGTAATCAGCCGTAACACATTTTTTATATATAATTATATAGAAATCATTGTATAATTATACATATAATCGTGAAATTATATATAAAATATGTCCATTTTGATACATGATTATATAAATTTATATAAGGGTTCATATATAATTATGTCAAATTACATATATTTATATACATGAAGAAATAAATTTATATAATTATATATATAAAAAGAACTTTTATCTAATTATGTATGGACATATTTCATATATAACTTTGCGATTATATGTATAATTTTCATCATATGTAGTGATTTCATGATAATTCAATTTTAAACCTGTTTTTAATAATTTAGAATTATTATTCGACAAAAGGGAGAGAAAGAGAAATTAATATTAAAAAATTTAGGTTATTTAATTATATGTTGAGTCATATAGTGCAAGGATTGAATCATATCTCAAATTGTTGAATCAGGGTAGAGGTTGCTAGGCGCTTTCAATTAGTTTGCTTTTATTTAAAAAATGTGATATTAATTCCGGAAAGTTGTTCAATTTTGAAAATGAATTTTAAAGCAGGTTTTTCCATAAATATATTAAATGTTATCAAAATAGATTTTACTTTGTTCACGGCTTATGCGAACATATTAATAAAACATGGTATTACATTTACATGGTATCATGGAAACATGAAACAGAGTGAAGGGAAACAGATTCAATTAAAACTATTATTGTATTTGTAAGAATGGTATGCGTAATAACAAGGCGATGGCATGTAAACAGTATTGTTGTTTATATCGAAAATTCGGCGCTGGTGTTCTGAGGCGTAATAGCGCGCTATTGTTGTCATTCACGGTCATCGTGTTGTCATTTGCGCAGCGACACTCGAGCGAGAAAGACGCAAATTATGCTTCGTGCGTGCCGTGTTATCTCTCAAAATATGCTCCGGGCAAACATTATAAAGCACGAAACGTAATATAAAATCGCTATACTTATTAGAATTAAAGATAACCAGCTCGCGCAATTAATTATTAATTTCTGTGATGTAAGAGAACACGTAAAAGAGTAATGAGCAAAGTGTTTAACAATATATATTTTCAGCTGTTGCCTTCTCTGCGAAATTTTCATTTTAAACTCGTAAATTTTGTAATTTTCAGATGTCGAGGTGCTCGCAGCGTTTTCCATCGCAATTTAATAAGACTCGTATCGTGTCAAAGTCGGGAGTGAAAATATTCGTGCGATAGTATTCTGTTAATTAGTGCACATGCGATTATAATTAATCGTGTTTCGCGAGTGTCATGTGGATATCGATGAAAAAGCAGCGAAGAACGAACAAGGGAAAATAGGAGGAAATCCAGGGAGAGACATCGTGTAGCAGTAAAAGTGAGTAAATTATGATTTTCATTTAATTTAAATTTTTCTTCGACATTTATATAATTTTCGTATTAAATATCTATTTGAAGAGAACAAATGAAAAATTCAATTGCGCGTAACAATCATTTTTTCATACATTAATTATTGCTTGATAATTTGAATATTTGTATATTTTATAAATCAGGCTGGTTGCTTGATAAACACTATTCGCTTTTGCGTGTTAAATATTATATAAAAGGAGGTAGGTCAATAATATATATTTAATTAGAATATAGCAGAACGGAATTTTTCCGTATTCTCTCTCCAAAGTGCGAAATGTTTATATTAAAATATTTTTTCCTCGAGCTATTCTAAAGGATATAAATATTTGTAGTCAAAGTCGATTCTAAAATTATTAAAACTGAAAACCTATAATTGGTAAAATAAAAATTAGGTATCTGAGACACGTTATCCGAGAATATAAGTATCTACGCAGTATCAAGTTTCAATTATACCTATCATAATTTTTTTAACCGTATTACACAATCTCGGGCGAATATACCAGTATTCCGCAAAGAGCGTATCATCGAAAACTCGCAGTTCCCGCGCACAATGCTGCTGAAACAATAGTCGGGAAGTTCATTTCTGAGTGACGGCAAACGCGGACTACTGCGCCGGCCGATGTTCAGCGGGAGCAGTACGATTTTATAATATAGGGTGGAAGAGGAGAGAATGCCGGAGCGTTATCGGAATGAGAGGCGAGTGGTATACGATATAGATAGACTGCGGCCGTTCGCACCGCGATACCAGAGGAACGAGGGATGCTCGCGAAACGAGCGGCCGAGCATATATCGGTCGAATAGGACACTCCGGTATTTCCCTCCTGCGGTTGGCGAGATCCCGGGGTTTAAATCCCGCCGGTAGCGCCATAGGCTAGTCCATCGACTAGCTTCTCGACAAATTACTCGGCAGCCCGATAGCGCAGCAATTTCCAGGATTTTGGATCTCCACGGCTCGCACACATACATGCCCGATCGGCTGAGCAGGGTATAATTGATGCCTATAGCGGACTATCATTAGCTCGCAAATGTCGTCTAACAATCTGTTTGCTCGAGGGCGTACGTCATCGCGTTAAAAGTCATGAATTTGCTTCCAGAGAGGCGACTCTCGACGTTTAGGATCCCCTTCAAATTCTCAGGGTACTTTAGATGCATCGTTAAAATTATTTTAATAATTGTTAGCAGTTGTACAGGGAGAGTTATAAATTAATGTGGATAATTTATCAAACTTTATATATCGTTTAACAAAAAAAGAGTTTAATACCATAAGCCTTGTTCCAATAATTTCATTATCTACTCTCATTAATTAATAATACCCTACGCTCCCCTCATAGCAGCGCCGTGGCGGCGCGATCAATTATGGTTTAACCCGACTTTGCGGATGCGTAATGGCGAGAGACCGTGAATTTCCAGTCATCGTCCTTATCGTCTGCTCGGGGAAAAACATTTTAGAGAACAGACATTTCCCATTTCGGGAACCGCGCCGCGCACTCGCTCGATCTTATCAAGAAAGATTTCCGGGTTTGAGAGTGTTCCCGGGCGCTATTTTAAGAATGATCCGCCTCTTTGTTAGGAGCTCTCGCATCTGAGCCCCCGCGCCATTATGCCGAGAGCAATATCTGCACGAAGAAGGCACCGAAACGAATATAAAAGCCCCCACGCGAGATGCTAAAAGTCGCGTATTCCCATCGTATAAAAATAGAAACAGCTTTTATACCCCCAGGAATCTATTTTCCATTTCCCGGCTATTGTGGGACGATACAATAGATCGCGATCTAATAAACGCGGATTTAATAAACGAAAATATTTTTTCACCGCTTTTTCCAAAATTCAGCGAGAAAAAAAAGCACGTTTCCTTAGTACGTTGGTGGTGAGATATTCGGACGTAGCAGCATTTCACAATTAAATCGCGATATTATACCCTTTTGCATGTATAATATTTAACTGTAATTATCTAGTTCATTTTAATACGTAATATTCCGCCCGGTTTTCTCTCTCTTATACGCCCGCTTTGTATAATATAAAAGTAAATACAAATATATACATTTTCCATGATTGAGAGGTAATTAAAAACGAAAATTGCATTTACATATTGTACATTACATTGCATTGCAACGCAGTATCAATTGCATATTAAATATTTCTACAAATAGCAACGTTTCATTACAAAACTAATTGCGGTTCGAAATACATACATATGTACATATATCGCTCGTCTATCTTCGGTTTTATATCGCGATACTTCGCGTTCGCTTCGACGAGAAAAATCTCGATGACAACACGGAAAAAAACAACACATGAGATTTAGTTATTACGCCTAAATTTTCACTATGACAGCTAATATTTTTTAGCTGTAACATTCTCCATTAAACAATGGCTAAAAAATATTAGTTACCATAGCTAAAACTTAGGCATAACTAAATTTCAGGTTGCAATTCTTTCATAGCTCAATTTTAGCTGTCTTTATATTACACATGAAATTTAGTTGTTACGCCTAAATTTTCACTATGACAGCTAATATTTTTTAGCTGTAACATTCTCCGTTAAACTACGGCTAAAAAATATTAGTTACCATATCTAAAATTTAGGCATAACTAAATTTCAGGTTGCAATTCTTTCATAGCTCAATTTTAGCTGTCTGTATATTACACATGAAATTTAGTTGTTACGCCTAAATTTTCACTATGACAGCTAATATTTTTTAGCTGTAACATTCTCCGTTAAACTACGGCTAAAAAATATTAGTTACCATATCTAAAATTTAGGCATAACTAAATTTCAGGTTGCAATTCTTTCATAGCTCAATTTTAGCTGTCTGTATATTACACATGAAATTTAGTTGTTACGCCTAAATTTTCACTATGACAGCTAATATTTTTTAGCTGTAACATTCTCCATTAAACAATGGCTAAAAAATATTAGTTACCATATCTAAAATTTAGGCATAACTAAATTTCAGGTTGCAATTCTTTCATAGCTCAATTTTAGCTGTCTGTATATTACACATGAAATTTAGTTGTTACGCCTAAATTTTTACTATGACAGCTAATATTTTTTAGCTATAACATTCTCCGTTAAACTACGGCTAAAAAATATTAGTTACCATATCTAAAATTTAGGCATAACTAAATTTCAGGTTGCAATTCTTTCATAGCTCAATTTTAGCTGTCTGTATATTACACATGAAATTTAGTTGTTACGCCTAAATTTTTACTATGGCAGCTAATATTTTTTAGCTATAACATTCTCCGATAAACTACGGCTAAAAAATATTAGTTACCATATCTAAAATTTAAGGCATGATAACTAAATTTCAGGTTGCAATTTTTTTTTTTTTTTATAAAGGAGATCGCAGCCGGTTCGCGATTGATCGATTTCCGAATCGCGGATAGTCTCTCCTTCCCTCTCTCTCTCGAAGAGACGGCGGCGAAGCCGACAGGAAGGAGGACGATAACTCAGAGACGGATAACGAACATCTATTTTGACAGGAGATGAGCGTCGGTGCAGGGTGGCTCGAGGGGGATGGAAACGCGGAGTGAGGGCGCGTGAGGGAGGGTAAAGAGAGGGGATGCCGGCGGCGGGATGCCGGCCCGAGGCATACATTATGCTAAGCCGGCCATTAGGGGGTGAAATATGTTTCGCGTGCCCCAGTCAGTTACCGGACGAGAAGGCATCTTCCCTCGAACAAACGGCGCGCGCCTCCGAGGCGTCTTGCATTACGCGGCTGCACGCGGTTTCTAGTTATTTGCAACTCTAACGACCGCTAATTGGCTCTTTCCCGGCCTCTTCCCTCGGCAATTCCACGTGGTTCTCTCAAGACGAGCCTTCGGTAACTGATGCGCCGCGTTATCCGTCCTTCACTGATTCGCGAATGCGAATAAGGAATCCGAGTGCTCTTTGCGCTGTGATTTCGCAGCTGGAACTTCGCGGTATATAATTTTGCGAGTGATTCGCTCTGCGTTAGGGATGTTACACTAACGTAAAAAATTCTTAGGGCGATTAGAAAAATATATATAAATTTAAAAATAGATAAAAAATGTAATTAGAAGCGAATAAAATAAAGCTTGTGTCTTTTTTATGTTATATTTATGCACGGAGAGAATTTTCTCTTAGAATTTACCCTACAAAAAATCATGGTAATCGTAGGATAATGTGGTATTGAAAGAATTTTATAAGAGTTTCTCTGATTAATATTTACCACAATAAAAAATATTAATATGTACATAGTAAAATTAATCGAGCACATTTGATATCTTATTGTGGTAGATATTAATATTTTTGTTGTGGATTAAATATTAATCAGAACAACTCTTATAAAATTCTTTTCAATATCATATTGTCCCACGATTACCATGATTTTCAGGATAAATTCTAAGAGAAAACTTTCTCTGTGTGGTTAAAATTTTTTATACTTCGTTGAGTTGTCATCTTTGTTTGTGCGGAGTCACAGCATTATTCTACACGTAACTTTTATTTTTACGACTTTGCTCTCGTAAATTCAATTTTTTACTTGCAATATTCGAGTCTTAATGAAAATGCTCCCATTTACCCATGCCAGACTATTCATTTGCATGCTATCGAACTAAACAAAATACACAGCCCGTTGATTTAAACGTCCAATAGTTGCTCGTTAGCTTCCTCTTGTTTATTTACTCCTATCTGCACGCACGACCTACTTTTTTTTATATAAATACACAAATGTGCGCCGCGTGACTGCGTCCATTTCAATTAATAGGTACGTAGTTACGTCTACCCGGCAATAAAAAGAAGTAGCCCTCGAATCCTGATCGAATCGATGGAATCACGAAATACTCGGCGAAATCTCATTACGGTAAATGTATGCTGACGTTCCTGATGTACGGACGTTGAGAAGATGTCAAACAGATCCTACCAATTTCATGACATCGTAAGATACTAACTCAACCGTGAACTGCTTTTATCGATATCATGAATGACATGATACGCTTGAAG